GGCCAGCAAAAGAGATCATTTCAACCGCAAACAGCAAGAGATGAGGGATTATTATTTCCTCCTTCCATCCCTTTTTTCTGTTTAATCTGATTACTAACAACTTCTAATAATTTGACATAGTTTATGATTTAATTGGAAAATGAAGTGTTTTTAAATAATAAACCCGTTTCTGATTCTGAGATTTATTTTTGACATATGGGTGTTGAGAGATGTATCATATCTCTTAATGTTGCTCTCAAAGTGCACAAGATTGATGCTTTTAACTTCAATATTTTTTTAAAATCTTCCTGGGGGACCCCAGAGGAGGTGAGTTCCCCCCCAAAATAGCACTTTATCTCTGCTTATGTAACTCCGGTGTAGTGTCCCCTCGGCAACAGATCACTCAGAGCTGGTGATTACTTTCCTGCATTTCAATGGACAGCATATAAAAAGGACACGTAAGCTGCATTGCTTAAGAGATCCTCTCATGCTATCTCTTTTACAAAATAAGTGTCCAGTCAACAACAAAACATCAGTGATCGTATAGTGGTAGTATAGTTTTCACAAGCAATGTGAAACATTAAACTTATACAAACTGGTGTACAAAACTCACATACCTGCGTTGATCTCCTGGAGTGTCTCTACTCTTTCTTCTCCACATCTCTTGTCCACCATCAGAGATTGCAAACATTTCAGAAACAGCTAGAGGTAGGGGACAAACAACTTGTTCGCTGGGCATGTCAAAAACCTCCCTGCTTTGATCAAGACTTTAGGGAGCCTTTCAGCCCCTCTAGCAAAGGGACTGGAAAGCAAGCTTTGAAAATGCAGTACCATCTACATGCTGTCATGTTCCAGACACTGCTCTCAACCACTCAGGGCCTGCTTAAATACCTGCAGAAAGAAACAATTGACTTGGTGCAGGCAGTAGATTACAAAACAGCAGTTGAGAACACACTGAAAAGTTACCGAAGTAACGAGAAAGCACATGAGGTCTATGACAAGACCAAGGCCCTGTGCAATGATCTTGATATTCCCGAAACTGTGACACAGAGGAAGAAGCATAGAAACATGGAAGACTTAGTCAAGGCATCATGTGGAGCAATGTGAAACATTACACATAAATACACAGGTGTACAAAACTCACATACCTGCATTTCAATGGACAGCATAAAAGGACACGTGAGCTGGGTTCTGGTGCTCAGATTAGCTATTGATGATCACGTTGATAAATCATATAAAACAAATAGCCAATCACACAAAAAACATGTTGCTGTGACTGTGAGCATTAAACAATTAACATTAAACTAAACAAACACAACAGTACGTTATTGTCCTTATAAAATAAAAACATACATTTTGTCCACCGAGATAATACAGGCACCTTACCCTCAAGAGATCCTCACATGCTATGAGAATCTCCCACAATCCATTGCCGTAACAAAGCTAATGCAGGCACACGTTTGTGACACCAGATGGCGCAATTGTGTATGTGCGTGTGGGGAGTCTTGCAGTAGAACATTTGACTGTAGCGCCGCCACTGTGGGCTAAGCCCCGAATGTTTCCAGGTCCAGGCGACGCCCCTGCATATGACAGCGACTTCCTTCCGAGTAGCGAGTTGAGAAAGGTCATGTATTATTGCTACACAAATATTATCTCGCAGTCTTAGTGTCGCCAACTCGTTTCTAATATGCAAAAAGACAAACAAATGTCGGTGTATTTTCGATCTTTCCAATCCAGACGAGATCTCTCCCCCGTCTGTGAGCGAGGGGGCGGGGCAGTTTACACACACGCGGCTGCTACATGCAGGCAGCAACACACGGAGGAGATGGCGGAGAGAAGCGCTCCAAGGTGTGGTTAAATGTTACCCGTCTTGAGGTGGACAATGCTCCTTACCAAGAGAGTTCAGCATGTAAGGGCGGTAACACGAGCAGTGTGTCTAAACATTTAGCAAAAGTGCACCACATCCAGACGGAGGAATGCACCGAGCAGCTCTGCAGCCCCATCCACGAGTAACGTTTCCACGTCAGGTGTTATGTATGCTAGCAGCAACACACGCAGTTAACTCAATGATTCAAACATGGGTTAATGATTATAGGAAACTGAGTTACTCTTTATTTTGTTAAAGTTTCAGCTATTCTGTTCACAGTTCTGTCATCAGATTATTTAATACGATTTGTTAAAACATTGTTGTTTCTTTTGATGTGAAATATTATTTATTTAATTTAAATAAAAAGCAATGTTAGTTTTGTTCACAATTTGTTAATTTAATAATATATGTATTTTTGAATCAAGTATTCATCTTTATTGTCTTCATTGTTAGTTTCCACATGCCTAAAACAACCTCAAGCTAAATCTAAAAGTTGATGGCTAAACAAGAGGGTTTGAGAAATTGTGCAAGGCATACAGTAATAGTCTGAATAGTCGATTAGTCGTTTCATTAATCGATAGATTAATCGATTATCAAATTAGTCGTTTGTTGCAGCCCTATTATCCCATGTATAAATAAAACCTGTTATTCAGCAACCCTTGCAATTTGGGATTTTATTTTTGGTTGGTAGACCTCGGTGAGCTGGTCATTTCAAAAGTAGCTCACCAGCCCAAAAAGTGTGGGCACCCCTGATCTACAGAATAAAATATAGAATGAATTGAATGATGAATAAACAGTGAGGGGTATGAATACACTAGATATACACTGCAGCCTGAGAGCAGTATAAACAGTGTGTATGAATATGCTAAGATATATAAAGTATGAAAATGGTAAGCAGTGCAAGTATAGTATAAAATATATGGATATTAATTTCATGATGATAAATATTGTGGAACAATGATGAAAAATGGGAATGGATGTGGCGACGTAAAACTGACACAAAACAACAACAAACTTTTGCCGAGCCGATTGGAGAGTTTCATCACCAGCACGTGGTAAAAACCACCAATGAGCGCTCAGCTCGAGATACCAGCGAGTCGTTTCCCATCAAGCATTTCGCTTCCGCAGCCCGTGGAGAGGAACTGCGCCGCCTCGCCGCGCCTTGCTCTCAAGGCTGTGGGCGTCTTTGTCCAGCGAGATTTCAACGTCTCATGTAGGCGGGCCTCCAGAGCAAGTCGGACAAAATGACTAACCATCATGCAACGCACGAGCAAGACGTTGATCGAAATTGCGCAGGTCTGCGCAGGTCTCGCTTGTCTCAAACAAGCCTATTGTCTACCCTCACTATCACCACAATGAAACACGTCCAGAAGAATGTTATGCAAAGCTGCCTGTCTGCCTTCCTTTGATTCTCTCTGAACTGCCTGGTGTTTTTAATGTTGAATGTCAACCATTTGTGCAGATATAGCGTGAAGTAGAAAAGATCGCAGATGCTAATGTACGTTAGCATTTCCCCCCCGGGCTTAAATTGTGTATTATAGAATGATCACACTGGTGTGACAGTACTCTTCAAAGGGTTCACGAAATATGACTACTACTCTTACTGTTTAACATGTTGGGTTACTTCATGTTAAGGCTAATACAAATGGCAAGGCTGTAATGCTAACTAACGTTAGCTACTAGCTAGGTAGCTAACTTGATCCAGCCACTCCTGGTCCTTTCATCAGACGGGAAGCGAAAGAACGAGCAAGACCCATTGCTGGTATGATAACAACCTGGTACTAAGCACACAGGCATCTTGTTCAAGTTATCTTATCTTAGCCAGCGCCATATAGATAGCAGTGGCGAGCCGTCAGGGCCCTCTAGGCCCTCTGTGAGGGCCTAAGATATTCTAAAAAATAATATTTGAAAACATTTTTAAAAAACGTTTTTTTTTAAATATTATTTTTTATATTTTTTTGTTGTTACATTTTTCATTAGTTTTACCAAAATAACTTGATTTAATTGTATTTAAAATAATATTTCCAAAGAAATAAATCCTTCGAATCTGCCTGTTCAGTTTCTGTTAGAATGTGAAGGGTTAAATGCCGTCTCTGCGAGTTATGTGAAGACCTCTCTACATTCAAAGAGGGCCCGCTATAGTAACTCAATGAGAGAGTAATGTCAAATGACAGTACAATTGACCAATCACATCTTCCCTCTAAATGGGCGGGCATTATTTTCGCGGACTTTATGACAAGTTCCGCCCACTACAAATGCGTCACTTCCGGGCAAAAATAACGTCTCCGCCCACTTTTGGGGGAAAACAACGCTGTCAGTTGAACGGCGGTCAATACAAATTCTGAAGTTTTTGCCAATCCTGATCAGAAATTTAAGAAAACCGGAGATTTTTGGATCATCAAAGAGCCCGATTCCAATGGCCAGACAGGCAAACAATTGCATTAAGCCATTAGAAATCGACGATCGGGCTCGATATATGGTTAAATATAGCAGTAGGCTATTGATTTTCATAGATGAGAGTAACATCACTTTACGGCCCCGCCCACTTTTGGGAGAAACAACGCTGTCATTTGAATGGCGATCGAGCCTGAAGCCACAGAGCTCTTCTGTTACTGTCCTTTCTTCTTAGAGGAAGTACAGAAACACTGAACTCTGGATTATTTTTAATGTTTGAGGTGCAATAAACGACACAGCAGCTTTTTGGCATGATACAACTATTATGTTCCGCCTCGCTCATGAGAGTAACAGCTGGAGAAATTACAGCCTCGCCTACTGATTTTAATTTAACCATATATCAAGACCGATTGTCGATTACCAATGATCAAATGTAATTGTTTGCCTGTCTGGCCATCGTAATCGAGCTCTTTGAAGATCCAAAAATCGACGGTTTTCAAATTTTTTTGATCGGATTGGCAAAAACTTCAGAATATGTATTGACCGCCATTCAAATGACAGCGTTGTTTCCCCCCAAAAGTGGGCGGGGCCGTAATTTTTGCCCGGAAGTGACGTAGGTGTTACTCTCATCATAGCATTTATGGTGTTTTTTTTAGGGGTATCATTTTCGGTTTGTTTTGTTCGATTGTTTGTTTTTATCTCATTGTATTATGAGGGATTTAGAATTATAACATTAAGTATAAGGATTTTACTTGGAAAATATTACCCGGAAGTATTACGTGTATCGTTTCCGGCCTATACCTCCATAGCCTTGCCAGCAGCGGGGTTGACGGTGGTTTGAGTAGCGGTGCAAATCCATTAATGAAAAGTCATGGCAGACAAGGCACAGATACCAGAAGCGATTAAAGTCCAAGGTGAAGTGGTGCGGAAGCTGAAGTCAGAGAAGGCTAGCAAAGAGCAGGTCAGTATCTCAGTGCTGTGTGCGAGCTGTTAGCATGCGGTGAACAGCATGTCATGTTGGGCTGGAACAGAGCAGGGATGCTAGCCAGCCAAAGATACCGTTACATAAACTAACTGAAGAGCTGACTAGTAACCCGCACTGACCAACACCATTAAACTTACGAGACATTTTCGGAAAAACTGACCAGGACTGTCACTTCTGTGAAGCATTCATTGTGTTAGCTTACGGTTAAGTGTTTAAATGAAACCCACATGATACAACCTGGCAGATATTTAAACAAATACGTAATTTATATAGCCTACCGAATCAATTGGAAAAGACCAAACATTTATAAAAACTATCGTGTTGTAGTGTACGAAGTAAGTGAGTCAGTAATACATTGGTCTAAGTTAGGGCCATAGGTATAAACCGTATAAACCGAGCTTAAAGCTTGGGCCATACTTGACCAGCTATTTGTTCAGCTATCACAACAGCTGCTTAAAATGACTGTATTTCAGGTAGAAGGGACTGCTTCTCACTTTGTTCCTACCAGTGTTACATGATAGCCGAATCGGCTAACTGCTAGCTTTAACATGCCCCAAATGTCATGGCTTTCCGCTCCCTTCGGCTTGTCGACCAGCTAGCTATTTTGTTAGTTGATGCAATAATTTACAGGCGTGTCATCAGCATGTTCAGGAAACTGGCCAGTGGTGGAAAGTAATAAGTACATTTACTCAAGTACTGTGCTTAAGTACACATTTTAGGTACTTAAGTAACTCGAACCATTAGTGGGTCAACACAAAATCTATATGGAGCAATGTTGCTAAGAAGTTTTTTGTAAAAAATATTTCACAGTTCCAACTTCTTAAATGTTAAGATTTGCTGCTTTTGCTTTAAAATATTTAAACAAATTGTAGTTTTTTTCTGCAATGAGTACTTACTTACTCCCGAGACTTTAAGTATATGTTCCTAATCATACTTAATTACTTTGATTTAAGTACCATTCTCGATGCGGTACTTAGTTAAGAATCAGAATACTTTTTCCACCACTGCCTGTGACCACTTAATCTTTAGCTAATCAGATGTTTTACGGTATTATACACACACAGTGCAATCTGACAATGTAATACTTTAGTTTGATACTTTATTATCAGCCGGCACAAAGATAACTAATAAAGATATATCCTAGTCTGTACCAGTTTTATCTCAATTTAAATACTGGTTCTTCCAATAATCTGCCATGCATCACAGAGGAGGTATCAGCATGTTTTTGAATTTAAAGTGAGATAAACCTCACTTCAAATAAAACCTTAAAGCATTGACAGAGAGTGCTACAGTAAGTGTTTGCACCATGTTTCTCTGTTACTATTTGTCTAGTTTGGTCTGATTTATTTGCTGTTTTGTCCGGCAAAATGTCATTGAGCCCACAAAGGGTCTAACCTCAGGACATAATTCAGCAAAACAAGCAGTGGTTATGGAAAGTGACAGTGGAAAGTTCCATACGCCTTTTTCTCAGACATTTCTTGTTATAGTGGACAAAGAACAGGAGTTACTAATAACATGGCTGTGTGACTGTAAACCAGTTTACACATTACAAGGCGAAAGTGAAAGTGAAAAGTGAAAGTGAAGCAGCTAATTCCACATTACACCTAAAGTCATCACAGAAGTGTAGTTAAACTTCAAATGTATAGCTTCTGGGGTCAATTTTGTAAAATCATTCAAAGAAAATGATTTGTATAACTCAGAAATTAGGTTTGATTTAGTGTAAATGAGGTCTATTGACCATACATTTAAAAAAGAAGAGTAAAACATGTGATAATTAGTAGGTATAAAGTTGCGTTAAAACGTGTAACACAGATTTGATTATTTATACTACATGCTTTATAAATAGTCAAACCGAGAGGACAAAAGTTCATAGTAAGACCACACAAGAGTTAAAATGATACCCCTAAAAACACTGAATGCACTCGACATGTAGATTGGATTTTAGTGTCAGAGCGCAGCCCCTGTGTGTGTGTGTGTGTGTGTGTGTGTGCTGGCTGGCCTCTTTGATTGACTCGCTCTCATGTGATCTCATGTTCTATCCTCCACGCTGTGATGATGATGATGATGCGGCGTCATGCCCTGCCCCAGTGATAGGGTTGCTTACCACTTTTCTCCTGTTCTTCCTGCTAACCCCGGATGACCTCGGCCTGCCCCCCACCCCCCCCTTCATCACCATCATCTACCTCACTGCTGAACCCAACCCCCCTGGACATTACTGATCAACTCACTTCCTGGATCTACCTCTACCGACCGTTGTGATTGGCTGCTGTGGCTGTTCCTGTACGACACCACTGAACACTGCTGTTCCCATGATACACTCCTGAACTTTTGCCTGTCCAATTATTGGACTTATTTTTTTCCGGCCATGTTGTGTGTTCGTGCTTGCTTGGGTCTGATTCGGACTGCGATGCGTGTCCGAACTCTGCATTCTTTCCCTGGGATCACTGTGGCTCAGGTAGGCTCATGGATCTGTGTGAAATAAAATGTTGTTGGGATTGACCGGTGTTTTTACGACTATTGGAATCAATTATTTGTATTCGATTCCTGATCAAATAAATGAATAGAAAAACGTTGTTACTTTGGCTCTGATGCAGCTCTGTCTGTCTGTCTGGCTCTGTCTGCCCCTCCATCAGCCCTCTGACATCCAGGCAAACTGAGCTGTGTATTTCTCAGACGCTTGACTTTCAATCTTTGAGCACATTTGAATTTGCTTTAGTTGATCAGTTCAGTATGTGATGTATGAAACCTTGTAGAGTAAGTGTTGACAGTTGTTGTGTGTGTATTACAGATCGATGAAGAGGTTTCCAAACTGCTGCAGCTGAAGGCTCAGATCGGAGGAGATGATGGAAAACACCAGTTTGTTCTCAAGACGGCAAAGGTAAGACGTAGTTCTGCTGCATTCAAACACACAACCAGAGCACTGCAGCAATATGTTGTTAATATGATTTGTATCTTTGAATCTTTAAAACCTATCTACATGGAGAAACACATGCCATTTTAAAGGTATAAAGTTGCAATCTGGCATGGAAAAAAATACATTTGAAAATTGTATACAGCTAAATGTTTACTATCCATAGATTGTTATTAACTTTCTTGGAAAAATATCAGAAAAGCACAGAGCACCATCACACTGTTAATGTATTGTAACATAATAACATGTAGCCCTCAAACCCCCCAGCATGGAGGTCTATAACATAACATAGTAGTTAAAGCCCACAAAGCTAACAATGGCTGTCTCACATTCTGTTTACATGAGCTTCCTATCACTAGTATAGTAATAGAGCCGTGACCTTGAAGGCAACATTTCTCAGTTTTACCCGCCGACCTCAGCACTACAACCCTGCTGATCGATGCACGCCTAATTGACAGAGTTCTTTAAAACATTTCAAAATTCATCGTCACGATTTAAATGCAGCAAATGTGTTTCTCTATCAGGGAACGAGGGACTACAACCCCAAGCAGATGGCCATCAGAGAAAAAGTGTTCAACACCATCCTCGGCTGCTTCAAACGCCACGGTGCAGAGACCATCGACACACCTGTTTTTGAACTAAAGGTACATATTCACATCACCGTTCACTCTTGGCAAGCAAAAACATGGCGGCTAACATGAAGAATTGCATGGCTACAGCACAAGCCTGTCTAATGTTGTCCATGGTACCTGTTGACCTTTATGTCAGAATCTATCCTCTCAAGGGCAGGATCATAGAGTAGTGCAGTGATGACGTATCTTTGTGTGCTGACCCTGAAGTAAGCATCTCACTTGTTACCTCAACATAAAACAATGTGATTTGTTGCCATTGGATTTTGGAATATTGCAGAAAACAAGATCTGATATTTTTCATATTAACATCACTGTGATTTTTTTTAAAGCATAATTGCATTCTCCAGAAGTAAAAAGCTAACATTAAGCTATAAACAAAATGCATGACTTCACGTCACCACCACCAAGCTCAGTGTGAGAAAAAGTTTTTAGAGAGTACTTGTCCATGGACAAGTGAGTTTGTCAATTTACTTGTCCGAATACATTTTTCACTTGTCCAGAATGGACAAAAATTGGGGCCACTGGAATCTTCTTCTTCGCCATCGTATTTTACATTTTTATGACACCGCTAACGTAAGTGAGCGGTAAGATTTGACTGCATCACACATAGGGTTGGGTATCGTTTGGATTTTAACGATTCCGGTTCTGCTTTTCGATTCCGGTTATTTTCGGTTCTCGATTCCGGTTCTTTGAGAGGGTAAAAATAAGTCCCATGACAAACTGGGAGAAAAATATATTTATGAAAACATGAAGTCAAATCTGTATTCCTATTTACAAATCACTTCATACTGTTGAATTTCTTACGGTTATTGAATACAATTATATAAAAATAATCTCTGCATTGTTTAGTTAGTTCTAAGTGGTGCAGTTTGAGAATGTACAATTGGCCCAGTCTCCTCTGATGTTACACTGCAACCTGCCTGTGAGACAGAGTCCAACCACACATGTCCAACACATAGGCCTAATAATAATAATACATTATATGTATAGCCTATAGGCCTAGCGCTTTTCTACAACTCAAAGACGCTTGCACGCTTACACATGTCCTGCAATACACATGCTGCCCAGCTGTTTGTAAAAGTAAATAAATAGTATTTTAATTTCAATAATGTACTTTCTATACCCTGCTTCATAAACAATACTGACATCCCTGTGCTCCTCCGAGTCTGGGGGTCCGGGGATGTGAGGACAGCGCGAGGACAAAGACAGGGAGGCTGCTTTACTTCATAAAGGAAATGGTGGTCAATATTAACAACATAGGAGCTAAAACGCTGACTTTGCTCACGACTGACTGACTGGCTGACTGAGATGCAGCGATCAGCTGATACGGAGCATAGAGAGCTGCGGTCCGCGGGGCTCGGGCTCCGCCCCCTGTCCTCACAACTCTTATTAATCCCGGTCTAACTGTACAGAAAGCGGCGAGATGCATTTCCTTAGGAATCGACAAGCAGAACCGAAACTAACATTTCTAAACGAACAATGGCGGACACGTACAATTTGCGAATGAGTTCTTCCTTTTGTAAACTGAATTTATCAATAAATCAGGGCGAAAACCGTCACTTGTCCGCCGGACAAGTCAATTGAAAGATCTACTCCGATATTGTAAATAACACGTCCCGGACGGTGGGACATGTACTTTTTCGCACACTGCAAGCTATGTTTTAGAAACAGACTTTTTAAAATTCCCCAGTGCTGCGTTTACTGACGTATTTTATGTCTAAGGACATTAGTGATGGGAATTATGGCTCTTTGAAGGGAGCCGGATCTTATGGCTCCGTTCCTTTAAAGGGCCGTTCAAAAGAGCTGTTTTTTTTAAAGGGGGCGGGGTTACTAGGTTTATCTGCGAAATAATCACCAGGATAATTATTGACTGTATTGCCAGACCTAATGTCAATAATCTGCATTGTAAACATGACACAAGCTGGCGCCATATCCATGTCAGTGAATGTACTACTTTGAATTTACCCTCTATGTGTCAAGTAAATAAAGTTGCCTTGTCTGAATTTCACGCAACTCTTAATATTAGATACTGTGTTTTTAAGTGGCGATTGAGATTATTTGTTGACCCTGCTTTAAAGGATGTTTTGCCTTTACAAATGGTGCGCTTTATCACTGCCTGGGTTTTGGTTGCAGTGCATCCAAATGCTGCTGCATTTTCGCGTTTGGCTCATTTTCCATCTGGAAAACACGACGTTTACCTGTCCTGTACTACTTGTTATGACTTCTCTCTCGCGTATTCCGTTAGACCAGTGTTTCTCAAACTTTTTCATACCAAGGACCACTTAACCAATAAAAAAACACTGACGGACCACCTAACTCCACAAATATCCAAAAACCCATAGTTTTTCTAGAACAGATTACAAATCGCCTGAAAATGGTACAAACAGGTGACGGAGGTGTTGCGCTGGGCTATATCATGCAATCGAAAGTGAAACTTAAGCTCGCTCCATTGCGGAGATATTCCCGCGAGAGTGCGGAAAACTTAAATTAACTTATATATTTATAATGTGAAATGTTACCAATATACTCACGGACCACTAGGGGGCGCTCACGGACCACACTTTGAGAAGCACTGCGTTAGACCCACCCCATCTCATCCTCGTGCTGAAACCTACCAATCAGAGTAGGGGCGGGTCTTCACAGAATACGTGTGGGGAACAAAATCAAGCTTTTTAAAAGGCGAGCGGATTTTGGCAGGCAGTGAGTGCGGACCAACGATTGAACGATAAAAAGAACGGCTCTCACCAAGTACGACTCGGTTCCCCTCGTTCGTACCAA